AAGTTCGCTCTCATGTCCAGCCTGAATTGGTCACGGCAGAGTTTGTGACCGTTCGATCTTCTCATCCCTTGGGATTCTCTGATGAACAGATGTTCCCACAGATCCTGATGAGCACCCCTGATAAACTTATAAGTGGCCACCAGATCACCCCTGAGCCTGTGCTTTTCTAGGCTGAAGAGTCCCATGGCTCTCTCACCGTAAGGTCTATTTTCCTGACCTCTGATCATGTGCGTGGCTCTCCTCTGCACTCTCTCAAGGTGGAGAACCTTGCATTTTTTGGTGTTGAATACCATCATGTTCTCATCCACCCATTTCATGAGCCTGTCAAGATCTGCCTGGATCACCCTCCTATCCTCAGATGTGGATGCAGAGTTTGGTGTCATCGGCAAACTTGGCCAGTCCTCTTCTGACACCAATGTCACATCATTGATGAAGATGTTAAACAGTATAGGCCCTAGGACAGAGGCTTGAGGGACCCCACTGGTGACCATGCACCAAGACGATTGGCTTCCATCAACCACCACCCTCTGGGTTCTACCACGGAGGGCCAGCTGACTTGAAGGTATCCAGCCTGTCAAGGTGTTCCTTCACGAGGTCAGCTCTGATGGAGGGTAAGGAATCTCCCTCACCCAGGCCTCCCTGACTCACAGTGGGCAGGGGCCTCCCATGGAACTGGTGAAAAACTGATGCAAAGTACCCATTTAGCAAGTTTGCTTTTTCATGGGCATCAGTTGTCAATTGTCCCATCTGGTTTAGCAAGGGTCCAATATTGCCCTTGCTTTTCCTCTGGCTCCCCACTTACCTAAAAAAGGACTTTTTATTATCCTTGATATTTGTAGCTAGCTGGAGTTCCATTGCAGCCTTGGCTTTCCTGGTGTGCTCTCTGCAGGTCTGGACCAGAGTAAAGTATTCCTCCTTGGTGGTGGTTCCAGTCCTCCATCCTTTGTAGGTCTTCTTTTTAAGATGCAGGAGGTCCACCAGTTCCCTGGGCTCTTCACCAAGGCCTAGCCCTGGCATCACTCTTTGACTCCAATCTGCACTCAGCTGTACTTTTTCCTAGTGCTGACAAAGTTGAGGTTTCCTACTGATGATGGTGGCCCCTGAGAAGACACAGTACCCAGCTAAGTCTCAAGTTCTGGGACTGGAGAGAGACTGAGCCAGCAACTAAAGTGAGTTAGGCCTCATGTTCCTTCTTAGCCTGTGGCCTCAGCAACTGACAGAGTGCTTCCCAGAAACATGTGACTTTCCTAGACATTACAGCTGAGTTTTGCTAGAAAAATGATGGATAAAAGTATTTTATTTTTTTCCCCCTATAAAAAGATTATCCTCGGGCAGATTTAGAGGAGCACAAGGTTGCACCTTTTGCAGAACATGAATGTAACAGCCTATGCCCTAAGTAGTACAGGTTTCAAAATTCAGCATTTTCAAGATGAAATATCTGAAGAGAACGGATTATATAAATCCTGGGCAAATTATTTTTACTGTATGTATTTGACTGTAACCGTCTGTGAGCAAGTCAGTGGTTTTTCCTCACTCTAGAGCTTAAATAAAAACAGGTTCTGAATAACTTATTTATCTTTCTGAAAGAGCCCTGGGGCAGATCTAAAACAACAACAACAGAAAATCATTCCAATCTTCAATTGCTTAAGGCCATGCACAGGCTTCTCACTGCAGCCCTACTTAGACAATGTATATTTCTAATGCTGCTGAGTAGTTGATTTACTGAAAGCTTGTCTTTTGCTTAAGGTACAGAACAAGGAAATTCAAACCTCATTCCTGAGTCTTCCATAAACTTCCTGTCTGATCTTGGACAAGTCACTCAGATCCTGATTCTGTTTTGCTGCGAGGATATCCCCAAATTCCAAAATAATGTAACCAGGCTCATAGAAATGTGTTCTTGATTTGCCTATAGAAAAACATAACTCTCCTATTCTTTCAATGGGTAGCATAACAGGCCTCCAGGGATGGCTCCCATTTCACCCTGCAGAATCACAAAGCAATAGTTCACCAGCTCCAGGCACTCATCCTGTTTCACCTGGGAGATACATAACTTTCCATGCTCCCAGTCAGGAACCCTGGCATACACTATGTCACCTCCATCCTACTGAAGTTCAAAATGATCCTGATAGCACTTAGCAATTCAAGACCCATGCAGGGAGACAGCTACCCGAGTCTGTACATGTACCTAAAAGACAGAGCCCTCCTCCTTCCCAAGCCTCTCAGATAGAGAGATCTGTAAAAGCCATGATGATAGATATCAAATGAACAAGAAGAAAAAGTGGGTAAAAAGGTGAAATTCCTCGTTTATTTTTCTCTCGTAGAGAAAGACTGTGATGCAGCCGAGAAAAAAAAATGCTATCAATAATGGCAGCCACTTGTTGCACAGGGATAGAGGATGAAAAGGAAAATTGAGTGGGAGAGGCCAAATGAAGTGAAAAGACCCTCCACAAAAAAAGAAAAAAACCCCACAATATCAGGGTACCATATGTACGAAAGAATACAGGGAAAGAAAAGCAACAAAAATCAAAGGAGGGGAAAAAATCATAACAAATCAGCAGTGTGCTTCAAGAAGCAGTAGTGAGAAATAAAGGCTTAACAAGATGATTTGATGAAAAAGGTGCTCCATCTCAAAGCCAGACATGTGCAAAGAGCTGAGGGACAAAAGGCATGCATCACCCTTTATTCCCTCATGCAACACTAAGAAAGGTGGGTCTAGGACACAAGAAATGGTAGGGCTGAGGCTAAGAGTACCCAAGGTCAAGCGGTGGAGCCGCATGCCCCTCCATGGCTGGAATGAGTCTATAAACAATAACTTTAAACAAAACCCCAACTATAACAGACCCCACCTCTTTTATTCTAATGATGAGCACTGGAGGGCCTGGTACCTTTTCTTCCTGAGTGCTCTAGTGCATAAGTAAATTTGTTGGATTCAGAAGTACATCAATGTTACTATGCCCTTCTTCATACCGTCTCTCATTGAAGGCCAAATGAGGTTTTGGAACCTTGCTTCTCGGTGCTCTTCCTTACTGAGTGCCAGCACACACTTTTTGGCAATCTTTTATAAACAAGGCTCTGGACTTCTGGAAGGAGTGTTCTTATTAGATCTCTACTGGAGCATTTGCACCACCGATCACACTTTTGGAAAGATTACAATCAACTACCAGTTGGGAAAAAAACTCCTTTACCCAAGTTCTGCTACTTGCTTAAATGTGGAAAAACACTGGCTCTTTTCTGAATGTTATTTATTCTGTACATAAGGTGACTCATTCACCTTTTACAAGATGTAAAAGTCCAGAAAAGGCAGTTTTAAATCACTCACATCCAATATTTATGGTACATATGGCTTTCATCCCAAATGTCAAAAGTGAAGGAAAATATAGCTATGCATGTGGCAGCAGCAATAGACAGAATAATCATTTATTATGCAATTAGGCTTTTTCTTTTTTCAACTAAATTATTCATTAACTTACATGGTATTACTAGTTTTACAATGCCATGGCTAGTGCATTAAAGGAAAATAATGCAAACTCCAAACGGAGATTTTTTTTAAGACCTTATACAAGTGAGCCAAAAAGAGCCCACTGGTGCTTTGGTATTAAGCAAGTGTTTCAAAATTATCTATACAAATTGTGCAAGCCTTACATTTTTTCAGTACCAAGAGTGCAACAATCAGTAGCGATTTTTCCCCAAAGGGTTAATTTCCTAGCTTTTGCAAAACTGTGTTAATTGCCTGTCTCCTACTGTGAGTATAAAAAAAGGGAACCCCAATACATTGGCACTTACTTGTGCACTAAATGGCTGTTTTCAAAAACCTCTGACATCTATAACAAGAGATTACGTTAAAGACACTCCAAATGTCATCTGATATGTGCAGTAGTTACTGTGTTGAACTACTTGCCTTTTTGCCATGCCTATGGATTTAGGAACCTCCCCTCCCCCAATGCGGGAAATAACTTTTGGTCCGTCTGCTTTGTTGCTGTTGTGCTTAAGGGCATCATGGCAGTGGAAGAAAAATGGTATTTGCATGCACACCATTATACGTACACAAAATACGTGTACAATAAAAAAAGGGAAAACAAGAAACATTACTGTTGGAGACACTGACAGAGGTGGAGGGTAAGAGGGAGTGGGAAATGTATGGCAGACAAAAGTTTCTCCCATGCTGGGAGTGAGGAGGGGAGGAGGTATATCACATGTATATCACAGTCTATCTTCCTGCACGTACTTCTGTTTTTCCCGGGAGTCTCTGGTCTTAGAGCGGTTCAGTCGGTTTGCTGTTGAGGGGATGGAGTGCGCCGATGAACTCTTCTTGCTGGAAGAGTATGAGGAATGGGAGGAATGCGAGAGACTGGCCCGGGATTGGCCGGCGTTGTGGTCAAACTGCATCAAGCAGAAGATCAAGTCTGTCGGCATGAGTTCAAACTCATAAGGAGGGTTTGCAATAACATAACTGGAATATAAAAAGAAGAGAAGGTGGCTTTACATTAGTATTAGTAAAATATACAGCATGGTAAGATATTATGAGCACCTTTCTATCCATCAGAAGATTTGCACATTACATCTTACATTGACTCCTTTTTGCTCCTACAAAGTTATTTACTGCCAGAGGTATGAGCAAGAATCTGAGATGGGTATTCCCCTGGAAAACTCTTTGACTTGGAAGCTCCTCCTCCTTTGAGCTATGCTAAAAAGCTGCTACCTAACAGTGAAGAAAGAAAAATGCCCTGGCGGGAATGCTTTCTATCTCACCCTAACATATGGTTAAAAAGGACCACTCAGGACCATCAAGTCCAGCACCCTGCAATTGTATTTAATCATATAACCCATGTATGTAACCCAAAGATTCTTCAAGTAAATTTACTTTGTCCCCCGCCTCACCTGCACACCAAAACAAGACAAAGCTACAATGCATAAAGGACAAAGGCCGAAGGCCTATTGAATGAAAGATGATGAGTGCTGCCCAGTCCCACAAGCCCAAGTCCAGATGAACCTAGGAAGTACAACAGACCATACCTCACACTAAACTGAAAGGCAAAGATCCCCCTTCCAGGTACCTTCCTATTCTGATCTGGGGATGAATTCCTCTATGAATGCAACTCTGATACTCATTTTAACACTATGCGTGTGACCAAAACAGCATCATGGAAAAGTCAAAGCCAAGACCAAAAGAGAAGGCATGCAGTCAAAAAGGAGTAAAACTCTTCGTAGCCCTTGTGAAAAATAGGGGTGCCCTGAACATAACTAACATAAAAATAATATAATAAAATGCAACCCATGCTGTAAGCATGTTTCTTAAGAACTGAAGACATGGAAAACAAGCTGAATCCAGAGGGAGCTGTCCCAAGTAGGTAGCCCCACATTTCCTAATGGCATACAGGCCTACTGCCCCTGTTTAGCACTGGTCCAAGACCAGCACTGGGCAGCCACATCTTTGCAACTGTCTTTCTGCCTTTGCCCTCTCACTTGCTGTTTCTCACTCCGAATCCCACCCTAACATTAAGAAATATTTCTTTGCCAGACATATCCCACATACATATTATTATCCTTTGTGCTTATTAGTTCCCCATCATCATTCCATTCCAAACAGTGATGCATTTATATATTCATTACAGGGTTTTTACAGTTATATTTATGTGCCTGTGCCACATTATAAACTAAACTCCCATCATGCTTTGACATATGCTAATTTGACACCATACTATAAAACTCTTTGGAGCTGGGAGACGGAACTAAATGGATGCTTCTACTGATGTAGAGCAAGCATATTTTCCCTATCAGGAACTGGCTGGGACATCTTTAGGCAGTCTGTATTTCTGGAGTGCTTTGTTCATAATCAGATAAAAAATGAACTTGTACGATGTTGGTAAATTATATGGAAAGTTGTGCAAAAACCTGATGATATAGAAAATATCCTATTGGCTAATTTATTGAAAACCAACAAGCTATAAGTATCAGGCCACTGGACAGGTGTGTCAAGTTTGTTCCAGGAATTATTTCAGTCATCACAACAGACCCACCCCTGGGTAACGTATGATCTCTGTCTCTGCTGTTCAGTTATGGTCCTTATTGACATACTAAAGAACTAATTGAGCTTAGTCAGTTCCATGTTCTGAATCTTTTCCCTTAACAAATAGTAAACTAATTAGGAAGCCAGCTATGAGGCCAGTATCAGCTGACCCTGGGTAAGATGAAGTTGTGGTCTACTTACTGGTTTAAAAACACAAGCAGCATAGAGAAAATACTGTGGCTTCAGTGCCATTACATACAATAATTGGGAGATTTGTTTTAGCTGCTGATTAATAAACTGCCAGAACACTTTATAGTTGCAACTTTAATAAACCTGACAAACTAACTTCTCAAAGTAATACATAGGTGAATTTATTAAAAAGCAAACCTCTAAGTTTACTATCACAACGCTAACTGAATGTTTGTGTTACCTAACTATGCAAATGCTAACTACTTGTAAGCTAGCTTTGTCTGGTAGTAAAGTACTGACTCCTGGCCATGGAAAATGAAAAAACTAGAGATGCTGAAGTGATTTGTAATTGACTTAGCTGGTCACTGGGATGCATTTTTTGCCCTACATATGGTAAAGGGAGCTAATCCCTAGAATAATGTGTGCAACTTGCTTAAAAATAAGTTTAAAAAGAGCACATAAGGAAAGAATGAGCAAAGCTGTGTAAGGTCTGAATATAGGCTAGGAAAAAGTACCTAAGTAACTGTTTAATCCCATGCAGCCAGGATAGAGCAAAAAAAAAAAAAAAATGCAATTGCAAAGACAAACTAACGATTGAAAAGTTGCTTACTATGTAGCTTGAAATCTAAGCTACAAACTAAGGCAAAAATGCATGCTAACAAATCACTTTCAGTGCTGCAAAGCAAGTAAAGAATCTAAGGGAACAGGTTCCTATGGTGAGGGGACTGGTAGCTGTATCAGTGTGGATAACTCAACCTACTGCACCCTTCCTTTTGTAAATTAGTGGTAATAACTTGGGAGAGTACTCCAATTTTTATTACCAGGCATATAATTATCAATCCAATCAAGATAGATGGGGGTGATGGGAAGCAGTATAAAGGAAAAATGGCCTGTGGTAGATATCAAAGGCAAAACAACATCACACAAAGGACATGTCTACACATGCAATTAACTCACAACAATAAACTCTGGTGCATATTGTGCTGGAGTTTATTGCTCCTGGGCATGCTGTTTGAATGTTCAACTAAGATTGCAGCGCACTGAGCCAGGTCAGAGGAGCCCTGGCTAACAGGAAGGCTGGGGGTCAGCCTGCCAGCCCAGGGCTGCTCCAACCCAGCTCAACATGCCCTGGAAGGCCTGGCTGAGGCATGAGTATGCTCCAGCGAGGGGCTAGCCAGCAGGCAGCCCCCACACTGAAGCACCTTTGTGCCTCAGTCAGCTGGGTCAGTGTCTACACATGTGTTGTGCAGAAAATAACTCCATAGCAGGATAATATTTGTATTTACAAATACTAACCTGCTGCAAGGTTTATTAGTTTCCTGTTTTCTAGTTTCCTGCAGTTTCCACGCATGTAGACACTGAGACATCTATTGTTGAGCTGATTAGGCAACTCCACACTATGTGTCTCAAGCATACTTAAAATAATCTGGAGAGAAATATGACATTTCCTGAAATCCAAAACTCTCATGTCCCATACACTGGGCACATCTACACAAGAGCTTTACTGTGGAGCCGACTAATTAGCTCTGTAGTAAGGCATTACTGTCTACACGTGCAGTGCTATTAGACCAAAGCAACCTAATTAACTCCATCACAATGCACATGTAGATACTGACGCTGCCTGCTGGCTAGTTCCACACTGTAGCACCTTCATGCCCCAGCCAGCCCCTTGCCAGCATGTTGAGCTGACCCCCCTGGGCTCCCTGCCAGTCAGGACTGTGCCATCCCAGCTCAATGTGCTGCATTCCCAGGGGCAAATGTAAATGCTGCACATGGGAGCAATAAACTCCAGCATGAACTATGCCAGAGTTTATTGTTTTGCTTTAATAGCAGGTGTAGATGTATCCAGAGTGATAAATGCATGTATAAATAAAGAATAGCCTAGAATACTCTATATAATGTTTAGAGAATAGATCAAAAATCCTTTAACATTGTATCACATATACTAACTTAACAAATAGGTGAAAAGTTACAGTCACCATAGGTAAAACAAAATTCACCATTTGACAATTGTTTTAAAAGAATGACCAATGCCCCTGAAAACCTTTAAAAATTACTGACCCCTTTGAAAGAAAGTCTGGGCCCTTCAAATCCTCAACCACAGCAGGAAAGCCCCCATTCAATAAAATACTAGTTTCTAACTCAACCGTGTCTGAGTTTCTAACTCTATCATTTTGGTAAAGCACAGAAACAAAAATGAAAAGTAACTCGTGTACCAAATATAATAAAAACAGAAAATAAATTATTTCAAAATTTTATGTTTTTAGCACATGGATCTCTTTGTTCAAATTAGATCAGAACTGGAAGAAACTAAATTATACACAGTTGGTAAATTAAAATGAAAATTCTGTAAGAACATTCTGATTATGAAATATCCTGTTGGCTAATTTATTGTCAACAAGTGGGCTATAAATATTAGAGCACTGACTTGACATGTTGAGCTTGCTTCATGAATTGCTGCAGCCACTGCAGTAGAGTCAATACTAGCTGATATATTATTTATATCACTTCTTGGGATTATGCTCATAATTGTCAAAATTAAGTGATGTTGGTCAGCCTGTTTTTCTGAACCTTATCTTTAATGAATAATCAACACCTACATATGCAAGCGCCTCATGCAGCAATAAAAATTCCTCATGACTCACTAGGGCAGATAAAATTGCTCAGGGCCTCTTTCCACATGCTCCAATGATGATTGCAAAAAGACCAATACACGGTGATGCCTCTTTTCTGGAAACTATCATATGTAACTTCTCTAGCAACATTTCAAAATGATTCTTGTTCCTCGCTTTACTTTGATTCCTGTTTCTGAACTTCACTTCTCTTAGGTCCTGTCAGCAACCATCCTTTCATTTCCAGTTGAAATTAATTTGAGATCCATTTGGAACCATCCATTTGATTGTGTGTCAGTATTATTTTCTGCCTCTGAAATAGCTCCCTTTCACCAATAGTCACCTTCCAATATATTTGCAGATTGCCATCTTCTCAACCTTCCTTTTGCTACTAAACATACCATGGTCTTTTCATCTTCTCTCATGAGAGAGGTTTTCTGTTCATCTCCTAATCACCCTCACAATCCTTCTCTATACCCATTCTTATTTAGATTCCTCCTTTGGAAAAGTACATAGGTGAAACATTTGGTACACATGGAATAAAGAATATGGCCTTCTGCTAGAATGATACTAATACTTCCCTGTCTCACTTATAAAAACCCTGCCCCACTGATGCACAAAAAAATTGTGCTGTCCTTTCTA